GACTGCTCCACCTACCGACCTATCCGTCTCATGTGCCACACGCTGAAGATCTTCGAAAGAATACAAGAGATGCGACTTCGAAGTATCGTGATACTGAGCTCCAACCCTTGCGGATTCGTGAAAGGATGCAGTACGACAGATGCCATTCACACCGTCAGAATGATGATGGAGAGAAGCAGAGAAAAGCAATGTGAGCTCGTCGCGGCATTCCTGGATCTTGAGAAGGCATTCGACAGAGTACCGCACTACGTTATATGGTGGGCACTGCGGAAGCACGAGGTACCAGAAGAATATGTTCGGTGGATCAGAATGATATACAAGGATGCCACCAGCTACGTAAGAACAGCAGCAGGACGTACAGAAAACTACCACATAGATGTCGGTGTACATCAAGGATCCGTTCTCTCCCCTCTGCTCTTCATCACAGTGATGGACACGATAGTCAGAAGCTTCGTAAATCCACCTCCCTAGACCGTCATGTATGCAGATGATGTGCTCCTGATGGCAAGAAGCAGGAAGGAATTGGAGACAGACGTAGCAATATGGAAAGAACAGCTTGAACTACACGGTCTGAAGATGAACACCGCCAAGACAGAATACATGAAGCTGGGACTTCAAACGCCAGAGACGATCCAGATTGCAGGCACGCAGATCAAGAAGACCACGTCCTTCAAATACCTAGGAAGTCGCATCGCGGCAGACGGCACGCTCGAAGACGAAATAACCAGTCGTATAAACGCAGCATGGCTGAAATGGAGAAGTCTCACAGGAGTGCTATGCGATAAAAGGATGCCGCTCAAGCTGAAATCTCAGATGTACCGCACTGTCATCCGCCCAACTGCGCTGTATGGAAGCGAGTGTTGGCCGTGCACACGCAAGGATGAACGAAGGCTTGGAGTGATGGAAACCCGCATGCTCCGATGGACGATGGGTGTCACGCTGCTCGACCACGTCACTAATGATACCATTCGCGCAACGATGAAAGTGGCCCCAATAACCAAGAAAGTGCAAGAAAGGAGGCTTAGATGGTATGGCCATGTCAGAAGGCGAGAGGAAGAACACATCACCAGACTAGCGATGTCAGTAGAGGTTCCCGGCAGACGACCAAGAGGAAGACCTAAGTTGCGATGGACAGACAAAGTCAAGTCAGATCTGAGAGAGCTTGGAATAGATGAACGTCAAGCATTAGACCGTGAAACATGGAGGAGACTAATAAGAGTGGCAGACCCCGTATGGGAATAATGCAAGGCTTAAAAAAAAAATTTCTGCCCAACGAAAACTCAATTACTGCTTATTTTCAAAATGTTACAGAACAGTTCTTCATTGAAAAAGGTATTGCGCCGACTACTCGCAGCCCCTTCTGCGATAGGAGGGCAGTGAGCACACTAATTTAATTGATGCTCGGCCAGATAAAATCCCTCATCACGGCTTACAAACCTGGAGAAAAGTCTACGTTCGACGTCGATTTTGCATGATCCCAACTACCAAATATTATATAGCTTGTTGTGGCTTTTTGCTTTTTTTCTTTAGAAATCCTTGCCCCGGTGACTCGTAAAGGCCAGTCATCGAGATGGGCAAGTAGGCGCAAGCTAATAGAAAAGTATGCTGTGGATTGGTATTTATACCATCGTCTTAGTTATGGTGGGGAAGGCGAAGCGAACACTGTATAAGTGCATTTTATCTACTGCTGTTATGAGCATTGCCAAAACGCAATTCTGTTACTGTGGTGCTTCATAAAATCAATGATGTATTTTATTTCTTGCTTTGTGTCCATTACTTACAGATCCTCGTGTGCCATATGTATGCCACTCGTATCGTGGACACGCAGACGACCATACACTGTGGAGGAACAGCAGTCAAACTTTTTGTGTGTCATGAACCCCCCCCCCTTGAAAATGTATCGAAATCTCTAGAAGTTGCTTACATCTTATATATAAAGCTGAATGTCTGTTTGTCTGTCTGTCTGTATGTCTGTCTGTCTGTCTGTATGTATGTACGTATGTTCCGAATACAAATTTTTATTTCTGAACCGATCGGGACCAAACTTGGCACACATATACTTCAGGGCAGGGAGCGTGTCATAGGCTACTTTTCGTTATCGATCGATATCGATTTTATTGATTTTTTGCAAAATTCGAGCTAGAGGGCTGGGATTTGGCAGAGGGGGGTAATCGAGCATGCTGATCACCCCGAAGGGGGTGATCAGCATGCTCGATTACCCCCCTGTGCAAAATCCTAGCCCCCTAGCTCAAATTTTGCAAAAAATCGGTAAAATCGACATTGATCGATAACGAAAAGTGGACTGTGACACGCTCCCTGCCCTGAAGTATATGTGTGCCAAGTTTGGTCCCGATCGGTTCAGAAATAAAAATTTCTATTCGGAACATACGTACACGGGTCTAGCTGGCAGGCCCGGCGGAGCCGGGCAAGCCAGCTAGTCTTATATATAAAGCTGAATGTCTGTTTGTCTGTCTGTCTGTCTGTCTGTATGTCTGTCTGTCTGTATGTCTGTACGTATGTTCCGAATAGAAAATTCCATTTCTGAACCGATCCGGACCAAACTTGGCACACATACACTACGGGCCCCGGCGGGTGTCATAGGCTTCTTTTCGTCATCGATCGATATCGATTTTATCGATTTTTATCGATTTTTTTGCTGAGTTCACCTACGGGGCTGGGAGTTGGCACAGGGGGGTAATCGAGCATGGGGATTCCGAATACAATATTGGTTTTCAGGATTATCGATTACTTTTATCGATTTTATCGATTTTTTTGCAAAGTTTGAGCTACGGGGCTGGGAGTTCGCACAGAGGGGTAATCGAGCATGGGGATTCCGAATACAATATTGGTTTTCGGGATTATCGATTACTATTATCGATTTTATCGATTTTTTTGCAAAGTTTGAGCTACGGGGCTGGGAGTTGGCACATGGGGGTAATCGAGCATGGGGATTCCGAATACAATATTGGTTTTCAGGATTATCGATTACTTTTATCGATTTTATCGATTTTTTTGCAAAGTTTGAGCTAGGGGGCTGGGAGTTGGTACAGGGGGGTAATCGAGCATGCTGATCACCCCCAAGGGGGTGATCAGCATGCTCGATTACACTCCTGTGCCAAATTCCAGCCCCCTAGCTCAAATTTTCAAAAATCGATAAAATCGAAAAAGTAATGGACGATCCTGAAAACTAATATTGTGTTCGTAATCTGCATGCTCGATTACCCCCCTGTGCAAACTCCCAGCCCCGCAGGTCAAACTTTACAAAAAAAATCGATAAAATCAATAAAAGTAATGGACGATCCTGAAAACTAATATTGTGTTCGTAATCAGCATGCTCAATTACCCCCCTGTGCAAACTCCCAGCCCCGCAGGTCAAACTTTACAAAAAAAATCGATAAAATCGATAAAAGTAATGGACGATCCTGAAAACTAATGTTGTATTTGGAATCCCCATGCTCACTTCGCCCCCTGTGCCAACTCCTAGCCCTGTAAGTGAACTCTGCAAAAAAATCGATAAAAATCGGTAAAATCGACATCGATCGATAACGAAAAGTGGACTGTGACACCCGCCAGGGCCCGAAGTGTATGTGTGCCAAGTTTGGTCCGGATACGGCGGAGCCGGGTAAGCCAGCTAGTGAGTTATAAAAACAAGACTTGTTGTGTTTATACTTGCGAACAACAAAAATGGCTTTTAGAATTTCTAAAAAATTCAGATTAGTCTTGTAAAAGCATCCTTTTTCTGATTGGGTTGGCCGTCAGAGATTTTGAGCATCCCAAAAAACTTTTTCGAAGCGCGCACCATCATTCAAAAAAACTTTGTTGCCCCACCCCCTCTCCCTAAAGAAATCTTGGGGAGACGGTCAAGAGGCACGATTTCTCCGGCTGTCACCAACTTCAAGACTTCAGTAGTGCTACGCAAGTCTGCAAAAAATATCAAATAAAGTGCATTAGCTTACCATCTGTCTAGGTGATGTGGACCGAAATATTCACAAATTTGTTCTTAACTGCATTTTCGTGGATTTTTGACCTCCAAAATTGCTGTTTCGAATTAATTCCAAGGTAGCAAGATTGAAGAACCCATGAAACTACCTAATATAACCCATTCTAAAATTTGAATACTTTTATAATAGAATGTTGTAAAACACTTATTGTTCGTTATTTTATGTCCATCCGGCAATAAAATTCGCGCCTCTACACCCGAAACAGGGCCCGGCACGAGTCGGTTTCTGGCGTTTTTGAAAACGAAGTCTTCCATGACTTTCGGAAGTTTACGAAGTCCCCTTTGACCTATTTGCTTAGAAGAAGATGAAAACAAGAAATAGTTACTAGTCTGAAAGATAAAACGTAGGATAAGAGTGAAAATCCAAATTGGAGCTGAGTACTACGCATGCACAAGAGTTTGGGATTGGAGCGCGATATTTTACAAAGCGATATATGAGAAAATGAAGGCAAAAAACAAAGGAAAGGCAATGATATGAAAATGTTTTCATGCTCAGGGGTAGATTTTTGACCGGGGAATCCGTCCATGATAGAAAAATCCAAAACTTATGTGAAGTGACAGAAATATATGCTCCAGACGATCTCAGATCGTCTGGTGGCCGTCTGGAGACGATCTAATTTTGGAAAACGTATTACTTCACATAAGCTTTCAAACCTTTATATATAATTCTTTTGCAAATAATTTTTAATGTATACAGTACAATTTTGGTGTCATATGACTTTGTGTGCACTGTAAACAAGCAATTTGTTTATTTTAGCCTTGCTTTCAAATTGCGCGCACTTTTCGCCATACACGATAGAGCATGTCAATCGTGTGATAACCTGTCTGAAAAGCTTGTATTCGACTAAATGGCGCTTATTCTTGGTGCTGGGCCCCGAATCGTCAAAAACGATATCTCCTTTGCTTTTTGCTCCAAAAACGAAATCCAGCCTGCTTCTAGACGATCTGTGCCGGGCCCTGACCCGAAATCTTGATGATAGTAGATAGAGTAGGTCTGAGTATTTACTTTTTGATTCCCATTGAATAGGAAAAAGACGAAATTTTATACAAATAGATTCATAAACACCATATTTTCATTTTTTAGGTTTCTTCTTGATGCCTAAGTTGTAAATAGTCTCCGCTCGCTTCCAAAGTTAATGGATTATTGAATCGAAGTTCGTCTGCGTCTGGCTCTTCTATGCTATTCCCCATTAGTCGGATCGTCAACACGGCAGTTGCAAAATGACCTGCGAAAGATTTTGAAATATTGCTCGACATAGATAGGAAGAACAGAACTCACTTCCCATCGCAATGAATTCAGCTATGTGGTGGACCTTCCAGTCAGCCGAGAGCTCGTCACCGGTTCCTCGATAATCTAGTTGAGTCAGAATCTCCACGAATCGAACAACAGACATAATCAAGAGCGTAGTTTGAGACATGGGGTGAAAAGCAAGCTTTTCTGAGCAGATGACCTGAAGAGATAAGGATCTCTTACAACATTGATATTTCAATATTGAAAATTGAATCACCTGATAGAGGGGGAAAACAATGAGGCCGATAGCTAGAGCTATATGATAGAGCGCCACATAGACGATGACCATTGGATGTTTGTAAATATTATCCTTAGAAGATAATAATCCAAAATAGGCTAGGGCCGCTAGCAACACCGCCAGTCCACACAAAGCCATCAGCACCCCAAGCCACTGAAATAAAATATATTTTGTAGTTCTCACGGGAGATTTTCACGCTTGAATCACCCTAATGGGAGATTCCAACTTGCGATTGACACCACTGCCTGAACCTTTGATCATTACGGATATACGCATTGCGACTATGCACAAAATACTGGACAGTATCAACACAAAGAAGTCCAGCAGCACCTGGATGAAGTGGATAATGGCCTCTGCAAATTTAGTAGGATAGAAGCATCATAACAACAGAATAAACGCTCACCTCTTCTTGTAACTGAGACAAAACATCGACTAGATGGTGGGAAGAAAAGCTCGCACAGTTGATCACCAAAATATTTATTTGACGATAGATAGAGATACGAGATCATTTGAAATATTGTCGAATTGAGAGAGTAAAGCGAGAGACAAACACTAAAAAATTAACAAAGTGATTTCCATATCAAATACATGTTCACTTTCCCTTTTGTCTGGACTGAAAACAATCGCGTTGAGCTTTTCCTAACTTCCGCGCATGCTGAGAACAGATTACTCATCGTTTGATTTATCCAACAAAAATTTCTCCTTTGTCAACATTTGGACTGCAACTTTATCTTGTTAAAATTAGTGAATTTTTTGGTCGATCACATTTGTAGTCTCATTTGTAGTCATCAACCCTTACTTATTCATTTTCATTTTCATTATAATGGCAAAAATTTGCCAGATTTATGGATATGTGGTTCACAGTGACCGACAGGAATGAGTAAGGCGAAACAAAATGAGCTCCAAAGGAAGAAAAAACCTTCACTTTTCGCGGCGCTTGTTGATTGACAAGAAATTTACGAAGCAACAATTCAAAACGTTATTTGAACTACTTTGTAACTTTAAGTGAAGGTTCGCAACTTAATTCTAGAAGGAGAAAGGTTTACAGATCTATTACTTTTAGAATCTTGAGAATAAGCTGACGAGTAAACTTAAATTGCTAAATTAAGCAATATTCATCGTCTTTGATCATTTGTCTAACGTAAGACATCAATTTATCAATCACATGAGCTGATAGAGGAAAAACGCATCAAAAAAAGGCTCACACCTTTTGGTATGAGCAATTGACAATTTGGCAGTTTATAACCTATCTTATGTGGTAGGCCATATGACAGCATTTGTTGGTAGCGCAGAAATTCTTACCATGCTGGAAGTGCTATAGGAGCAAATTTCGACATTGAAGCGGTCATTGCAAATATGGCTGTAAGAGCGGTCAGGAAAGGAGTTTTCTGTTCGGCTCCTTGGAAAAGCCTAGAAATTCGAACAGCAACTTCACATAACATTTCGGAAGAGATTAAGTCACCAACCTGTAGAAAAGCCCCTTCCAAATTGTATACACGTCAAGCGATATCGTACTGCAAGAAAGTAGCAAGAAGAGAGCAGCAGTGGCAATGAAAAATCCTTTGGTCTTCTCATCGATAGTTAACGAACGCCAAGTCGAATGCTGAGTGAACATAAGTGATGGGAAGTGAACTACTGACCGTAAAAACAGAAAGATGGACATTTTTCATGAAATTATGGGAATCCTAGAAATTTCCTAGAATCATGTATGGACATTATAGCACATATTAGGTTGTCCGGAAATTAATGTCCGTTTTTCTAGGCCTAGATTCCAAACAACTTTTTTCGTCAAACTTTCTATTACGATATAGAATCTGCACATCATTGGAAAGCTTTCTCCATGCACTTTCTAACGGTGGTGGAAATAAGCTGCTATCCTCATCTATGGGAATTTCACCAGCATTTTGCACATCCGCACTCAAAATCGAAATTTCATAGCTTTCAGTTTCTTGACCACAATTTAGGAGCAAATAAACGAATTCTTCTGAAAACATAGCAACTGTATTGGATGAAGATTGTCTACCTACTGCATGCTGATCTAGATTTTTGGAGGTGACTGGACTAAGAAATTGACTCCTCGAAATAGATACTTACTGATGGCATTTTATGGGTCACAAATTTCTCATAATTAAGGCAGTCACCAAAGCTTTGCCCAGTTCTGTAAGCTTGAGATAAGCACACCTTAACTACAACATCTGAAGAGAAATTGACTATTCAGTGCAAGAAGAATTCCACATTTTCATAATTTGGCACTCACAAGCCTACAAGAAACAGGCTCAAAAAAGTGAACATTTTTGAATTTTTATCTTTTCTTTTCGCACAACTCCTTCTTTGGAGTCTTTTCTATACATACGTAAACAAGTGGCCTGCGGCTACAAAATAAGCTGATTGGCAGCCATACGAACAAAACTTGAAGGGAGTTGTAAGCTCTCAAAGAAGAGGTTATCAAAAGAAAAACTTCCACTTTTTTGACGCATGGTTTTCTTCCCGTTTGCGATATTAGTACGAGCAGGTGCGCGCTAGAATACGAAAGGTTTGCTGTTTCTGATGGTCTTGACTGCATTTAAAAATATGAAGACTGAACGAAGTTATAGCCTTCCAAAGTGAAAATTTGCAAAACGGACATTAATTTCCGGACAACCTGATATATTGAGAATGATATGATTCATACCATTGTTATTAGCTGAAGAAGAGTAGCAGCGACCACTCCGACGTTCAGAAAGGAGATTATCACACCAATCACTTGCCAGTCTTGCAAATGAGGTGGGAATGACTCTGTTACATATGACAGACGGGAAGAAGCCAACCATCTGGAAATATATTGACACTAAGCTGTTACGCTGAGGCTCCGTCCAGGGCGTCCGTGCCGGTCTAGCACCGTACTAGCGCCGTGGCGGAACAAGGTAGATCGATGTGCGGACGGCATCCACGCGGGTTCTGGCACGGCGCTGGCACAGCCCCAGTACTCGGGCAACTATGAACGCTTCCAAGTATGGTCTGCCAAGGTACCTGTAATCGAGCCACAAATAGAAAACAGATGGCATAAGAGTTGCAGCGGCCATGGATAAAGCTAACGCTCTCATGAGCTTGCTACCTCTAGCTGCCAGAACGCAAAGAATACCTGAATCGTCGTATTTAAGTAGAAGACGAGTTCACAGTGCAAGGACATACCGAGAGTCAACTGCGTGAAGATCCAAGCTGGTTCATCTAGAGTGTAATTGGCAAATAAGTCTCGCACACGATCTTGCCCAGTAAGCATAAAAAATTCCCGAAGGTAACAAAAGAAACGAACTACTCCCAGAGCAACCAGGGCAGTTCCCATGCCGAGCAGCCTCACCGATGGCAGCTAGAATGTTTCATAGTAAGTGTAAGCAAGCCAGTTACTATCCCAGAGACTTACTTGACTGTAGGTATTGGAAGAAGAGTTGAAGTGCAGGAATATTATGTAAGCAGCCAGAATAAATGCAATCAGTGAAAGAAGTGAATCAATCCCATTGTAAGTCTTTACATGAGTTAGCTGAAATATTCAATAAAAAGTGATGAGCAGTCCTTTGATTAAAAAAACTTATTATCCTCGACTAAGCAATGCCATTCCGGCAGTAACGAATTTGGCATTAGTAATTTCGATTACTGATCAATCAATGAGATTCTACTACGTACAGTCCTGTGTCCGAAATGATAGTGCAAAATATTTTGAGAAAAAATTGAACAGGTCCTCCTTATTACTATAGCTTTTCGGTTTTTCCTCTTGGTTACACTTTGTTTTTTTTTTGAATTTTCGCTCGCTAATCTACTGATTGACCAATATTCTTACTCCCAAAAGCATTGGGTGAGGAATGCATCAAAGCTTGTCCGGATTTTTGAGTCTCTACTGGTTTTTTTGACGAACCGTTTCTTCTGTTAACAATGTAATGTTTGATTTTGGATGGATACGGATGGATGGATACGACAAAACCCTTAAATTCCATAGATCTGCAATAACGGCATTCACTGAGATACACAGACACAATAACTGCAGAAACACTGCGAATATCTCTGCAATCCACGATCTCTGCAAGTAGAGGCGGTGCTTTTCGAGCAGCAAGAAACGCTCAAGAACCCACAATCATGACTAGTCGGGAAATCCCAGCAAAGAGCACGATAGTGGTAATCCAGTGAGTGTTGATGTAGAGCTGGAGAGTCGCCGACTTCTCAGCATTTTCCAGTGAGGCATTGAGCGCGTTGATAAAGCCGAAGAAGCCGATCGCAAGCTGGAAGACCGAGGCTCGCTCGGCTGACAGCATTGGACACTGAAAGAAGCACTAACCAGAAATCAAATGAGTCAAGGAGAATCTTTCAATCGGACTAGAGTTGAAAAATTACATAGGATGAAGTCACATTTTAACAGTGTGTAAGAATATGCTAAAAAGACGAAGCATCGCAGCGAAGTCGACAGCGATGGCGGAAAAGTTTCACCAATTTTGCCGACCGATATGATTCATTTCGGTCTGCACAATTCTATCTATACAGCGCATGTTTAACAACGAGATGAAAAACTTGCGCCGAACGAATGGAAGAAATTTGAGCAGCCCACTTTTTCATTATATCGTACAAAGCATGGAAGCCTTTCAGGTGAGTGCGTAAGGAAAGAAGCTAAACAAGAGCGGGTTCGAAAAATTGTTCTTTATCAAAGCTGTATGCTTTACTATATACATGGAATAGAATAAAAGTTTTCCTGCGTACACAGGGGTAATAGACATGCATAAAGCATCTACGATTTACAATTAGCGAAACTGTGTGCTTTTCAGAGTTTTCCAAGTAGCTAAACCACCCTTATGATCAAAAGGTGAAAGTGGAGAGATGCTTGAAAAAAGTTAGAGATTAATTGGAACTGCAAGAGAGCTTATTCAAAACTCTAACCAACTAAGAATTGTAGAAGCCTTCAAAAACTTATATTGCCCTAGGTGCTAATTGATTCAATGGCAAGCTCTTTCTACTTGTAGCGCCATAGCCGCCTGCAAAAGCAGAAAATTGTTATCGAAGATCTTTAATTCTGTTCATGGCTTCAATACGGCTTCAAGCTATATATCATTAAGAAAAGAAGAGGAGCTGCACGAGATGAAACTCAGTGCTTTGCAGACAGCAGAACTCTAGCGATTAATAAGTAAAATTTCAGAGCTTTTATTTTCCCTTGACATATACTGAAGTCAACCGTAGAATCACATCGAACTTTTCGAGGCACGTTATTAAACACGGTTTTCAATATGCTTCCGTTCAGGGTGAATACTGTTGTGATTGAAAAGAGAGGAAGGGCCTTTTGCACATCCAATACCTACTGAAAAATGTGTAAAGATCAAATCTCAAGCTTGAATTGTGCTAAGAGGCATCTGGTAAGTCTGAAAAAACAGCGAGCCTTTTGCGTGATTTTGAATAACTTGCGTTTCTCATGTATTGACATTATTGACATTATTCTTGACACATTCACTAACAACCACTATTGTTTTAGTACAAGGGGACTGCTCCCGGAACTTTGCGAATTGAATTTTTTAGGCGCAAACTTGGTTCTACAATCAGTACCGAGTGGATTCATTCTTGCCGATCGTTTTCGCTAAAACTGCTAGCGAGCTATAATATCGGAAACCGACACTTTTTAAGAAACATTTTGGACAAGAAAAGGTGATGAGAAACAGCGAGGAACATTCAAGGTTTGCATGTCCGTATTGAGGCGATCCTTCACATAATTTTACAATTGCGAAAGAGTTTGATGGTTTATTCAGATGCTTTCAAAAGCATTTTGCTGTGCATGTCTGCCAAACAGACAATGAATTTGGATGCGACTAGTTTGTCAGCATACGATTTCATGAGATTGAAAGAGCTAATTATCTTTTTGGTTCGAACATGGATTAGTCACAGTTTTGTAAAAGAAAAATAAAAAAATAAGAGCAGCAAATGGATATAGCGAACTGGATATGCCGATTTCCAGAAAAGGTCATGATCGTTCAGAACAAAAGAGAAGGATGCTTCTACAGGAATTTCGTAAAATTGCTGAAATTCCATGTCGATATCAACGAAACTGTTTGCATACTCTGTGCGACAGCAGTGCAAAGAGAATTGTTTTTATGGTTCCAAAAGAAAACAGTCGAAGGCAATAACATGAGGATTGAAATAGCCAATTCATAAATGCTATCGATTGCGACTAGAGATGGTTTGGTTTATGCTCACATTTGTACGAGCCTATTAGTTGAACTCTATCCAATTAAAAAATCAGTGCTCGACACGACAGCTCGTATAGTAGCTACAATAAATGATCATGTACAAGAATTTCAAGAGAAAATTTTCCAAACGTCGCTGAAAAAAGATATGAAGAGTTGCGGGTGTCATACAACAACGGCACAGAAAAGCTCTTCACACTTGAGTACCTTGCAAAGAACTAAGGCGACAGCGAGTGTTTTCAAGCAGAGAATGTAAAAAAGAGCAAATAAAAGCTGTCTTGCAGAATTTAGGTAAATACATAAGGGAGAATACCAAAAACACCTACAACACCAATTTTTGGAATTCCAATAAAAAACCTCCAGATCGCTCTATCGTTGCAAGAACAATTATTAGGTACTCGGAGTGCAGAGCAATCGTTCTGAATCTTCAGATAATGTGTTCTATGCATGACCAGATTCTCGCATATGTAGGAGGAATTTTTTGGACCTCAAAATTGGCCAGAGGGTCATTGGGTTATCAGCGTTATTATGTAATGGCTTTGATATCTTCTCTTCTGCCATTGAAAATCGAGGAAAACTTGATATTCCACTTCGGATATTTATTGGCTTTGTAGTCTGTATGATCTCGTCTCTAACAATCATGAAATCATACATTGATCAGGCAAAATTTTAGTTTTTTCTTTCAGAACATAGAGATTCTCAACAAAGAGCTTTCCCAAGAGATTCTCAACAAAGAGCTTTCCCACTGTTCGCAGTTCACGCACTCAACGCAGATTGCAGAAATTGGACCTCCTATATGACAATCTTGAGAAGTGTCAATATAACATAAGTCTCTAACTACTGCCAGGTTGGAAACAAATGCATGTGCGTAGGTTAAGATTTAGGAATGGACTGATACACGGAGTTAATCTTCTTATCCCATGAATTGTCCAGTAAGTCCAAGACTTACCAATAGTCGAAACGTAAGAGCTGTTGGGAAAGTTGTGCAACAAGCTATGAAAGTCTACTCATAAACTACTACTCAGTCTACTCATAAGTCTACTCATAACAGTGCTAAATCAGACGAGCAAGGAAAGCGAGTTTTGACAGCATGCGACGGAGCACTAGAATCAGATTATGCGCATAACTGGTACAGAATTACTGTCGGACCATAGAAGCGAAATATATGGACCACTTGCGCATGCGCGCTCTCCCAACTTTGATCTACATATTTATTGCATGTGGCTTCCAGTGAAATAGAACATAGAAAGGATGGAAATAAAAATTTCGATTAGGCTCTAGGGCATTGATGTGGAGACAGAGGAGAAATAGTAAAATTCTACTAATCGTCAAAATTCAGCTTTCCTTTCTGCCTATGCTATAACTGATTTGATGTTAAGCACTAAGACGACAACGAGGCTTTACAATAGGTTAATCGAAACTTTGTCCTCGGCATTTTCAAAGATCGTAAATTCTTTCTATTTCGATGTTTTTGCAAGGAGGTGAGTTTACAGAAAGAGTGAATTATATGATTTCAAATAACAGTTTGGAAGTTTTGTATACGCTCTGATTGCAGAGATAAAGATTGAAGAAGTTCATCCAAGTTTTTGGCGATTTCTACCACAACTATCAAAAATGTGAAAACCTGCAATAAAAACAATTATTAGGTTCTGGAAAGTTGCTGATCGAGCTTGTCCGTGGAAAGTCACATTTTTTGTAAAATATGCGAGAAAATTGATTTTGCCGTTTTGTACAGTTCTCCAGTTTTATAGCTTTTGATAAGAAGGCTAGTTCAGCACAAACTTTGCTCGGTCAAATGGAGGTTTCTTAGGTTTGCTAATAACTGTTTAGGATTATGTTGCATGGTTTTTAGATTTTGATGGGCTTACTCAAGATCACCAAAACTCAAATGATCGCACTCTCAATTTTTTCTCGGCAATCAGTGCTTATAGGGCCTTCACATTTAGATGGAGCAAATTATCCAATCTTATAATCGAAATAGAACGAACTGATTCGAAAACGAAAGAACGAATAACGGTTTTCAGAATTACGAAAATTAAGGAATAGATTTACGAATCACGATTTAGAACCAATGAGGGGCCAGTACGCCTCTCTGTCTCTCCGTATATAATGATATTTGTTTCACAACGTCAAGAATGGGTCGAGAAATTTTCGAGAAAAATAACTTTTTAAATTTTCTAAAAATGCAATTTAGCCTTATACAAAAAAAAACTTCGAGGGCGTAGCTTGCGCCACGCGCCTTCATCAGCAAAGAATTCTTGTCGCGCCCTCCCCTCTCTCCGAACGGAAACCCTGTGTACACCTCTGTTACCGCGCCTCAGAAAAAAAGAATCTCAAGCGAATTAGTAACAGCGAAAAAAACTCTTGAGCGCCGCATCGACGTCAATTCCTTCACAAACATACTTGATTGACAAAAAGTTCAACATTAAACATCAAAGCATTTCGCTGTACTGCAGTGAAGTACATAAATATAATATGTCGGTATATGAGGCATATGATGAGATTATGGCAACAGTTCGTTTGAAACAATGCAATAAATAATTACACTTCTGTGAACGGCACACCCGTTGTCTATAAGCAAACAAGAAGATTGGCTATCCTATGGTAATTCCATCGTATCGCGACAGATCGTGCACACTCCTTCAAAAAAAATCGTTTTATTTGAGCGAAATCCTATTTACAACATTTCTGAAATACAAAGTAGTGAAATAAGCTTTCGTTCTGCGGAAAAAACTTCAGATGCTCCGAGTTCTAGCTAGCTTACAAGTTTGAAATTCAAAAAAGGGAGCAAAAACCTAGAAATTTTCAGCAAGGCTAATTTGAGTTTTTTCGGGGTAATACTGTGCTATCAGGATTATTTACCCTAATAAAGATGTTAACTGTACAAAATCAATATGTAGACCCTTCTGAAAATTCTAAGAGCCACTGCGGGAGCGGGAGAAGGTGCGCAAAAAAATGCTTTATGGCGGTGAGGCATATTATCGACTTAATCGTGAGTACCTAGTTTACTCACAGTAGATTTTCTCAAAGAATCTCAGGGTTCCGATAATGCAAGCTATTCAACTTAAAAAATCTAAAAACCATTGTTCTCATTCTTCGTATTCTT